TAAAAAATCTACTGGAACTAATTGAGAGATTTAGCATAGTGGCAGGATACAAGATCAACATCCAAAATTCATTTGGATTCCTCTAACACCAGTAAAGAATGGCTGAAAGAGAAATAAGGAAATCAAAACCCTTTACAATTGTTGTTGTTGTTGTTATGTGACATAGAGTCAGCCCCAACTCATAGCGGCCCCTCCTTGGGTTGCCAAGGCAGTATCACTATGGAAGTAGATTGCCCAACCTTCCTTCTGAGGAATGGCTGGTGGTTTTGAACTGCCAGTTTTCTGGTTAGCAGTCAAGTGCCTCATGTACTATACTACCAGAGCTCCTACCCTTTACAATAGCTACCCAAAAAATAAATTACTTGGAAGTAAATCTTACCAGGAACACAAAAGACCTGTACCTAGAAAACTAGAAAAGACTATTTCAAGAAATGCTAAAAGAGCTTCATAAATGGAAGAACATACCATGCTCATGGATAGGAAGATGGAACACTGTGAAAATGTCAATTCTAACCAAAGCAATCTATACATTCAATGCAACCCCAATCCAGACCCCATCAACATTCTTTAAGGCTAGGGAGTCCATAGCCTTGGAAACCCAAGGAGGGGTCACTAAGAGTCAGGTCTGACTTGAGGACACATAACAATGACAACAATTTTATATGGAAAGGAAAGAGACCTCATATAAGCAAAGCACTATTGAAGAAGAACAAAGTAGGAGGGTCTCACACTCTCAGATCTCAAAACATACTATACAGCCACAAAAGTCAAAACAGCCAACAGACACATAGACCAATGGAATAGAATTGAGAACCCATAAATAGATCCACTGACCTATGGTCAGCTGATCTTTGACAATGGGCTAAATTCTATTAAATGGGGAGGAGATGGACTCTTTAACAAATGGTGCTGGCAAAACTGGAGATCCATTTACAGAAAAATGAAACAAGATCTGTTCTTCACCTCATACAAAATAACTAACTTCAGATGGATCAAAGATTTAAATGTGAAACCTAAAGTTCCTCAAGGAAAAATAGGAGCAAATTTCTGATAGTGTAATGCCTAAGGCACTTGACTGCTAACCAGAAGGCTGGTGGCTCAAACCCACCGGCCACTCCCTGGAAGAAAGGTTGGCCAGTCTATTTCCATAGTGATACTGCCTTGGAAACCCAAGGAGGGGTCGCTATGAGTCGGGTCTGACTTGATGCCACATAACAACAACAACAACAACCACCAGAAGGCTGGTGGTTCAAACCCACCAGCCACTCCTAGGAAGGAAGATGGGGAGAGTGGTGATACTGCCTTGGAAACCCAAGGAGGGGTCGCTATGAGTCGGGTCTGACTTGATGCCACATAACAACAACAACAACAACCACCAGAAGGCTGGTGGTTCAAACCCACCAGCCACTCCTAGGAAGGAAGATGGGGAGAGTGGTGATACTGCCTTGGAAACCCAAGGAGGGGTCACTATGAGTGGGTCCAACTCGATGGCAAATAAGAACAACAACAACAATTTATGGCATAAATAGACTGTCAAGCATAATCCAAAATGCACAAATAGCAGAAGAAAAACTAGATGAATGGGACTTTCTAAAAATTAAATTTTTATGTGCCTCAAAAGATTTCTTCAAAAGAGTAAAAAGAGAACCTAGAGATTGGGAAAAAAAATATATGTCAAGGACATATTTGACAAGGGATTTATCTCTAGAATTTATAGAAAACTCCAACACGTCAACAACAAAAAGACAATCCAATTAATAAATGGGCAGAAGACATGAATAGATACTTCACCAAAGAGGATATTCAGGCAGGCAACAAACACATGAAGAAATGTTCACGATCATTAGCCATTGTTGTTTTTGTTGTTATGTGCTGTCGAGTCGGACCCAACTCATAGCGACCCCTCCTTGGATTGCCAAGGCAGTATCACTACCGAAGTAGTTGCCCTATCTTCCTTCCGAGGAGTGGCTGGTGGATTTGAACCACAGCCTTCTGGTTAGCAGTCAAGTGCCTTAGGCACTATACCATTAAAGAAATGCAAATCAAAACAACTAGTTACCATCTGTCCCTAGTACTAATGGCAAAGTTCAACAAGACAGAAAATAACAAATGCTGGTGAAGACGTGGAAACATTGGGACTCTCATACACTGCTGGTGGGACTGTCAAATGATACAACCACTGTGGAAAATAGTATGGAGATTCCTTAAAAAGCTGGAATTAGAAATGCCATTTGACCCAATAATTCCATTATTAGGTATATATCCTAAAGAAGTGAGAGCCAGGACAAGAACAGATATATGCACATCCATGTTCATTGCAGCACTATTTACAGTAGCAAAAAGACAAAAACAACCTAGGTACCCATCAACAGAAGAATGAATAAACAAACTATGATACAAACACACAAAGGAATAATATGCAACCCTAAAGAATCATGTAGAATGTACAAAATACCACATAATGTGGATGAACTTGGATGACATTATGCTGAGTGAAATAAGTCAAGCACAGAAGGACAAATACTGTATTAGTTCATTATTGTAAAAAGTCAAGGAAATGTTTAGATATGGAAGGAAACTTTCTTGGTTGGTTACTAGAGGTGAGGAGAGGGGAAGAAACACTAAAACACAGAAAAAAAAAAGATTGACATATTTTAAAAAGTAGAATTAAAATTTTATTTAAAAATTTATCCTAGTTACAATACCCCAGAAGTTGTATCCTCTGAAACTATTACAATTGTGACAAAAAGCAATTTGGAATCTATTTATTTAAAAATATGTTTTAAAAAAATTACTCAAAATATGGTTTTAAAACTTTTTTCCATGATACTTAGGATAAAACTTGAAGACTATCACTTTACAGAATTATGCCCTCCATAATATATGGTCTACTGATCCACTGAAGAGGCAGTAAATCATTGCATTTAAGAGTCTGAGCTGTATAAAACAAACTGTGTTCCAATCTTAACTCCCTACTTATTCATTCTTTAACCTTCAACAAGTTAGTTGACCTCTCTAAATCTTGTTTATATAATGAAGATGATGAAGGTACCAAATTTGTAGGATCATCCTCAATGTTATATGAAATGATTCTTGTAAAGCTCTTAGAAAAATGCCTTCACATAGTGTCATACATATGCATGCATTTATAAAACCTGTCATAGACAAGATAGTTTAGAGGAAGGCAAGTACCTGTTGTCTGGACAAACTTCCTGAGAGAGCAGGGCTTCATATGGTTTCCAAAAATGAGTAAACCAACTAAAAAAGAGGTAATAAATGACCAGCTCAGGGACAGAAATATTGTGAGCCCCAGTGATGGAGACCGCGAGGTATTAGATGCACAAATCAATAGCTACGCCTTTAAACAACAACAACAAAAAAAAGTGCATTACTTAAAGGAATCCTGAAGTAAATCTTCTGGTAAAGCAAAAACTTCCTTCAGTACTCCTTTAAGCTTTACACTTCTCTAGACTATTTTGGATAATCTAAAAAATTCACTACTTTCCTGGAGCACATTATGAAAAGTACTACACAGTGTGTGCTAAGCAGAGATGTCTCAGAGAAAGGCCTGGTGGTTGTCTTCTAAAAGATCACAGCTAGTGAAAACCACATGGAGCACAGTTCTGCTCGGACACACATAGGGTCACCATGAGTCAGAGTAAACTCCATGGCAACTGTTTCGGTTTTCGGTCTTAAGCAATGAGTTATGAAAATTAACTTTATAAATATCATTGATAAAAAAAATGTGAAGAATTTTGCTGAGAAAATTATCCTAATTGCATAAAATGAAACTGGACCTCCCTTAAGGAGCCCCAGTCACTCAGTGGTTAAACACTGGGCTGCTAACTGAACAGTTGGTAGTTCAAACACACCAGCCACTCCATGGGAGAAAGATGTAGCAGGCTGATTCCTTAAAGATTTACAGCCTTGAGAACCATATGGGGTAGTTCTACCCTGTCCTATAGGGTCAGTAAGAGTCAGAATTGACTGGATGGCAGTGGGTTTGGGTATAGGACCTCCCCTTGCCAAATTCTAAGCCTTCACGACCTCTATCTGACCTTTGGTTTTGATCCTCTAAGTTTACCAAGCATGGTATCATTCTACAGGGACTGGTCCTTCCTCATAATACTTCCAAAGTATGTGAGAGGAAGACTCTCCATCTCACTTCTAAGGAGCATTCCTGCTGTATTTCTCCAAGACAAGCTTGTTTATTTTTCTACCAGTCTGTGGTGCATTCAATATTCTTTACCACAACAATTCAAATGTGTCAATTCTTTTGCAATCTTCCTTGTTCATCATCCCACTCTTACATGCATATGAGGTGATTGAAAATACCATGGCTTGGATCAGGCACATTTTAGCCTTCAAAGTGAAATCTTTTAACAATTGAAAGAGGTCTTTTGCAGCAGACTTGCCCGATGCAATATGCCATCTGATTTCTTGACTGTTGCTTCCGTGGGCACTAGTTGTGGACTCAAGTAAAATGAAATCCTTGACAATTTCGATCTTTTCTCCATTTATCATGATGTTGCTTACTGGTACATGAGTAATAATTTTTTTTTTTTTTCCTTTATGTTGAGGTGTAATTCATAGTGAAGGCTGTATGTAGTCTTTGATCTTCATCAATAAGTGATTTGAGTCTTCTTCACTTTCAGCAAGCAAGATTGTATCATCTGCATATAGTAGGTTGTTTAATGAGTCTTTCTTCAATCTTGATGTCATGTTCTGTTTCATATAGTCTAGCTTCTCAAATTACTTGCTCAGCATATAGATTGAATAAATATGGTGAAAGGATACAACTCCAACACACATATTTCCTGATTTTAAAACAATTTAGGCATGCAGAATATAAAGAGTTCCAATATACAATGAATTATACTGTTATTTTATTCTTTTGAGTCAGTTTTTCTATTGTAATTATAACACAAATGAGATAATCACTCAGATTTTCAATCATTAAGGTAAACTAATTGTTTTTCATTTTCCTTTTTTACTACCAGGATTTGCTAGTCCACTTACTGGGATAGCAGATGACTCTCAAAGCAGCATGCACAATGCCTTGCACATCTTTATGAATGGAACAATGTCCCAGGTACAAGGATCAGCCAATGATCCCATCTTTCTTCTTCATCATGCATTTGTTGACAGGTTGGTTAACACTTTTTCATAAGTAATGTGCTACTAGGTTTAAATGTAGTAGATGTCTTCTAAATGTGACTTTCCTTATCATAGAAAACTAAGGTGTTATGGTGGCTAATGTTTCAGATTTGCTTCTCCCAGAAACGGACTCAAAACTAAGGATCTGGATGTGCATGTTTCGTTAAGGTAGTGTTCCTAGGAGAAACAAGTAAGGGAGAGGGTAAAGCGGGATGAGCAAGGGGATGGGGGCAGATAAAGGTGAGTGTGAAGTCCCCTACTCAGCCAGATCTTGATAGAATATAAAGTATACCTCAGTTTGCCCTGTCTTAAGATAAAACAGCTGGGTTTTTGTACTTCACTGCTAATCAGCCATGGGCTACAGTTTACACTGAGGATATCTTCGTTAGCTGCAACCAAAAATGTCAAGTGGATTCCAACACATAGAAACCCCATGTGGCAAAGTAGAACTGTCCTATATGGTTTTATATGTTGAAATCTTTCTGGGAGTGTATCACCAGGTCTGTCTCCCCCAAAGTGGCTGGGTAGGTTCAAATCAAGACTCTATGGTTAGCAGCCAAGTGCTTAGCTGTTGCATCTCCTGGACTCCTAAGGGGTGTAAAACTACCATGCAGCAGCCCAACTCTTTACAGGATAGTTGGCTCCAATGGCATTATGCAGAAGTGTGACTAATAGTAGCCATTCCAAAGTCTTTTAAAATTTAATTTTCCTGCCCTCTTAGATGTCTCGGCTAATTCTATTTTCCTACCAGACATCTGTATGATTATTAATATAATAAGTCAAAAATAATAAGAAAATATCAAAGTGGTTTTTGATCCAGTCCACACAGCCAACCTGATGAAGACTCTGGGCATGGTAATGAAGGATGCAACATCGTAAATAAAGGCGAGCTCTGCAGATTGCTGCAGGACACCCAGATTTCCTCTCAGGTCTCTCATTACAGAGATTTGCTTCTTAAAGAAGGCAGGTCTATTCACTGACGTTTCTCATTCACAAAATATAATTATTCATCACCTACTGAAAATGTCATGTACATTTGCCAGGATATTCCACCATTCATTCCTGCCTCCATCCCCAAATCTGGAACATGTTTTTCTTGGCCTAATTTCTATACAATCTTCAAGACTAGCTTCAATTTTTACCTCCTCTGTAAAGTATGACTATGCTACTGTCATTTACTATCTCTTCCATCCAGAGTGTGTTGAACCAAGCTCACACTGGCTAGCAAGACCTGTGTTCCTCTTTTCTGAATTCCTTGTTCAGTAACCTGTAGTTGCTAGCTTGAAATCAGCCATGACAGAAGTATTTGCACCACAGAAAATGGCAAATGTTATAGTCAAAGCTTTTATTTCTACAAAATTAGTTGTTAAATATTTTCCAGCACTTCTGTGTTCCCATATATTAAGTCATACCACATTCTTTTTATACTCTATATTTTGAATATATCACTTATATATTCTTTTTTATTATATTCATTGCCTCTTCCACTAATCTGTGAACTATCTAGTGGCAGAGTCCATATCTTGAATTATATTTATTTGTCTCATAATGATTTAGGTAGCAACTACTTAGTAGGCACATAACTTTTCTATCCAATAAATAAATTATTGAAATAAATTACAATTACCACAGGTTGTAAAAGGCAGTACACAGTAGTCACTTTACCTGAAGAATTTCTTTGACAGGTTTGAAAAGCAAATTTAATACTTATTTAATGCATGAACATATTTATTAAATTTAGTACATTTCCAACATGGGCCAAGACACCGATGAAACAATTATAAGATAGAATCATCTTTCTCAAGATGCTTAGTCTAGTGGAAAATATGGATAAGTAAACAACTATAGTACAGTATGATTCTTACTGAATCATGGGGAAACTCTTGGAAAGCTACATAAAAGCGATAATACATGAGCTTAGTTCTGAACGGCACAAGAGCTATAAGACAAGGATGGATGGTTCAGGGCCAAGGACACAACGTCTGTTTTCTTAAGGACTGATCAAAAACAAGAGGTATGAACTGAAGAAGAAATTGGTGACTTGGCTTCCAAAACAAGAAAATAAGCTTCAATTCTTATCAACAGAGAAAATTATAAGATTTCATTGGCCAATTAGCCTGCCATCAAAATGTACCAATGCTGGAAAAATAAGTATTCGAGCACACTAATTCCAACACCTATTTTGAGTCTAATTCTAATCTCCTGTACAACCATTAAGTTACAAA